TATATATATATATATATATATATATATATATATATATATATATATATATAGAGAGAGAGAGAGAAATAATAAAAATTATCTTACTTGAAACCTTATAGATACAACAGCTCCACATATCTCTTCTCCAACCATAAATTGTTCTCCTAACATAGCTAATATAAGATTTTCCCAACATCTAGAAACTAAACCTTTTCTTAATCGTACTATCCATTTACCACCTTTTTGATTTGCCTCATCCTAAAAAAAATAATTTACTATAGTAGAACTACTTAAAAAAAATATATTTAATCCAAAGGATATTAAAACATACTTCCCACATTGGTTTTATGCCAACTTTGAAAAGATGAAAATCTGTAGATGTTGTTAATTCTGATGGCCGGACTAAATGACTGTAAAGACTCCAAAACTGCTCCACACTTGCAAACCTACCAACCAATTTTAAATTTTGGTCGTAACTTTGTATACTTGGTTGTTTACCAGGACTGCGTCGACTATACCATAATGCATATGCATATTGTAATTTGTGCTCATTTGGATTAATTTCTATAGGAGGCTATAATAAATATGTGCTATTTAATTGAAAATATTGATAAAATAATAAGAAAGCAATACTTTCTACATACTAGTGAATCTTTCTCAGTTTTTTGATTATCTTTTGACTGTGTTTCATCATCTCCATTGTCTTCATTAGCCTTTAACCTGCAAGTACTACTATAATTTACAACAAGATGAAAGTGTAAATTATTAAATTATTTTTTATTTTTCATATAATTTTTATTTAAAAAGATTGTTACAAATTTTACTTATTTTATACTTCTAAATAGTAACATATGAGCATTGATTTTACACAGTCACATGCAAAAGAATAAGTTTGATTATTATTTGGTAATTATTTGAAATGTCAAAAATAAAAAATAAAAATAACAATCGAAAATTCAATATACAAAGATGTATATGATATGTATTTAAATTCTGACAAATGTCAAGACATACATATCACGTGTTTTGTTATTTGGAACTAGTAAGATAATACTTTGCATAAGCTAATAATTAACATATTAAATATATATAAAAAAGAAAGCACGTGTTGAATATTAAACAAGAGAGTATATCAATGAATTTTGATTTCTATTCAAAACAAATCTAACCTCCATCTAGCCCATTCAAAAGGCACGATGAAATAAAATAAAACGCTAGTTTCACTTACGCCTCGAATTTATTCGACATATTTCACGCTGCAATATGAATCTATTGATCAATTACTATGAATTATATATTTTAATAAATATAAATAAAAATAGAAAGACTTTTTAATTTCTGTTTCCTTTTCACACGTTCTCATGTGTATGTTTTCGATAAATTGTTGATCTCCTTCTCTATATTCTTTTTTGCCATTTTATCAGAAATTTTACATTTTGATGTTGGTCATACTAAAGATAGATAAATAAATTAATAGCGGGATATATAAAATATTATGCAAAAATGTTTTTAAAACATACAATTATATTTAATACAAAAATGATATCATCATCATATCAGAAAAAAAGTATATCATAAATTTAAAAACAAAAACATGAGTAATAATTTTTCATTTTTTTTAAACCAAACTAAATCTAGATTATTAATATTAATCATTAATTTTATTCTCTGAAAATCTTAATTTCAATCTTTTCATAATTTCTTCTCGTTGATACATAATTTCTCTATAGCATAACGGTGAAAATAGAATTGGACATTCATATTGTATAGTTTCGATACACTTCGTATTTGCAATTCCATCTCGATCGAATCTGAATTGTGAAATAGATTCCACTAAAATGAAAATCAAAATTTAAAATAAAAATCATTTAAAATTTTGCATTTTCTAATTTTGTAAAAAAATTTTGTAAGATATCCACTCACAGCATCCAAATTTGGAAAAAAAACATGTTTGATGTTTCGAAGTAATCAAATAACCATTATTATCTTCACGTATAGCGTAATGTCCGTATGCTGTATTTCGAATAATTGGTATATAACTTAAATGTTCAGTATATTCAACTGAATATTTCCAATGATCATAATTACCACTTTCCGCAATAATATTAAAATCTTCTCTGTAAATTTAATAAAAATAAAAAATAAAAAAGGAAAGAACAAAATAGCAATATTTATAAAAGTCAAGTATTTGTAATTTTACATACATCGTTGGATTTAATTTTTTCATGTTACTAAAATCTGCTACAAATTCCCATATATGTATAGGATTTGAATTTTTTATTATTCCTTCAAACAATATATGATGCTTTTTTTTATATACAAAGAAAATATAAAAAATCAAAAGTATTAAACTAGTATACAATACGTTTCTGGTTTTCCACCTCATTGGATTGATACCCATTTCTAAATAAAATTTTGCTATATAATATTTATTTTATAAAATATTTTTTAAATAAATAGAAATAAAAATATATGTTGATATGTTTATCATACGCTAATGTTAACACATGAAATGAATAAAAAATCTCATGCTGCATATTATTTTTTTAAAAATCATAAAATAAAATATTCACTTACTTGTATCGAATATTTGAATTGAAAGAAAAAATTTTTTTATTCTATATTATTTATATATAATTATAGTAGACTTGTTATAATTTCAACAAATTATATATATATATTTAATTATATTTTTTAATATAATACGAAATAATTTATATGTGATATTATAAACTTCCGTTGATTAGATAAAAAAGTGATACTGTTTCAAATATCAAAAGAAGAATAAACTATATATATATATATATATATATATAATAACTTATTATTCGTCTAACGTAACGTTCTTACTTCCC